CCTTTGAGACTTGATGGTGTTGGTGAGCCCCAAATTATCTTTCTCCCTTGCCTGATAAACCTGAATGGAAGGTAAGCCTATTTTCAGGGGGAAAGTAACATGGTTTCAAAACTGCTTTCACTTAATAATCACAGTTCACCTTACATGAATATTTCACTTGTGGAGCAGGTGCCCTCACACAAAGAGAACTGTTGCCATACATCTAACAACTTGCACCTGACAAGCTGTGCCTGAGTAAGCCAGCATCTGTAGCACCTGCTTGCTGGCCCCCAGCTGCGGGAACTCAGCAGGAGTCCAGGTAAAAAAAAGTGGAGGAATCTGGGAAAAAGTGGGGGGCGACAACACAATCAGTGAGGTGGGATAGTAGTCATAGGTTTATATACATAAAAGCTTTCCCTAAACCTCTGCTAAATCACAGTTACAAACTGGAATATGCTTACCTGGCTTCAAGTATTTGTGCTGAGTTCTTTTCTGAATTCCAGCAACATCTGAACTGTTGTACCTTTGGTGGAATGCTGAAAAACGTGTCTAAGCTTGTTAACAACATCTCTTTGGAGGAGAATAGTCAGACTTTTCAAAAAAAACCCTTTCATTGCACTAAGCACTAGTATGTCTCCATGGGAAGCTCTAGAACGATCTGTCAGGTGCAATGCAACACAAAGAAGCATGCCAGTAGTTGTGAACAAAAGTAATACACACATAGGTAGTGCTGAAACTGTGATAAGCTGGTTTCTTTTCACTGACCTGATCCAGTGATGTATTGCTCATTTTGGGTCTGCTGATTCACTTTAATTTTAATCAGTATACCGACTGAGATTTATGATCACTTGTGCTTTTCCTGTAAAAATAATTCTTATTAGAAGCTGTACTATAACTGTACACCCGTGTATATTCAACACCCAAAACTTCCAAGAAGGCCTCCTTCAATTTCAGGCACTTCTATCAGATAAATTAGCCGTCTATTTTGATTTAGTTTGCCTTACATTAATTTATGTAAGCTAGCTATATGACATTAACTTTTTTTTTTTTAATCATACAACATAGTATAATATATATATATATATTTAATATATATATATTGTTATATATCCCACATAATTCTGGGAGGGAGATAAGAAGTGTTGTGATAGGGACAAGACAGGAAAACTGGAGACTGTAGAGATTATATCTTTTGACATATTAGCATTCTGAAGTTGGAAGCAGTCATCTCCCAGCTGTGAGCTGTGTCACCTGAACAATGACTTGCACTGGTAAAATTTCTTTTTTTTCCCCTTGGTCAGAGGACATCCAGTGTAGTAGCAAGAACTTGAAGTTTCATTGCTCATGCTGTTCACCTGTAGATATCTTTTATTTGGGAAGTTCTCTGAACAAGAAACCACTAATCATCAGTTGCCTGTTATTTTAACATGCGTTCAAAATTATATGAAAAATTAAGACTATTCAAGGACAGAATCGCTGATACTTTTTTTTTTTTTTTTAATTGGAGGAAATGTCTGTTTAAGGAAATAACTGATGACATGGTCTCTGTTGTAGATGTACATCAGTCAACTACAGGATCTCTTATACCTTCACAAAGACTTGAAGGAAAGCAGTGTTTGACTTCGCAAGATTTTTGCTTCTTTTCCTTTCCCATCTTAGCTACATATTTTATCCAAACTTGAATGTCCATTAATACTTCCTCATTCTTCCAACTCTTCCCAAAATCCTGTGAGACAACTTTATATTAATGTACTGTAGAAGTCAAATAGCTTTTTATTGTTGTCTAATATCTTGTAGCTATGTTGATCTGATGGAACAGCCCTGTGGTTTTGGATGGAACAGCATTGTGGTTTTTCTTTAAAAACAGATGTAATTGAGAAGGATGAACAAATAGATTAATGTATTAACTCACTACCATTTATTACAGTAATTAGATATAAAGCATAGCAACAGTTATATCATAGACAAATATGATAAATCAGAAGATCAATTATAGCAATCTTCTACCCCTTTTAATCTACTCTGAGGCCTGAGCCCCTCTCCCTTCCATGCTGCCTCCATCCCTGTTCCATCTGCAAGCACCCAACATCCTCCCAGGAAACCAACACCCAGAATTAGAGCTGAAATGCATGAAGTTTCCCAGATATTCTTCTCCTGCAAAGGTAGGTGGGAGCCAGTTCAGCCAGGAGCCTCTATTCTGGATAGTATACTTGTAGGGAGGAGAGTGCAAGAAATTTCTCTACCAGGTCATCAAGAGGTAATTGTCTTCTCCTTTTCACCATTAAGTGTACAGGTGTCTTGAAGTTCTTTCAGGCTAATTAGGATTAGGTTGAGAGCCTCCATCAAGTTTTATTATATTGCAGTACCAAGAATGAAATAATGGTAAGTCCTTTAATTGGAGAACTTAAAAGGCTATTTAGTGAAATGAGCCCCATGGGTCACCTGGGAAATAAACCAAGTGGCACGGTCTCCACTGACAGCATAAAACAAGTCACCATTGTTTTCAGTAACTCTGAAATATTGCAGAGCTCGTGTGCTCCAGCCTCACCAAACAGCAGCTCTTGGAAGGGAGATGATGTCGTGGATTATTTGCAAGCTGAGAGATAGAAACATAGCAAGCTGGATTGAGCTAGGACAGAGACCTGCAGGAGAACGTTATAACAGTCTTTACAAGGTAATGGCCTTTTTTTTTTTTTTCCTATTTTCCAGCAGTTCAACTATCATCCTCCTTTTGTTAGTGTTGATACACAACTGTTCTGGTACATTGCTTCCTTCTAGAACATCTGAAGTTGTATGTGCACACTTACATCCTCCGTGATTGTTGTTGAGATCCACATCAGCTAGACATAATTACAGCAGCAAGTAGTTCCTGGAAATTTACTGCATACAGTTTGCATATTGGTAAATGCTAGAAGTCTGAAAGTCTGTCGTGAATAGCTACAGAGGTTTTTCTGCATCAGTAGCCCCCAGTTACTGACTAGCATTTGGTGACAAATGAATTACCCATCCATTTTCTGTAATCACTGTAGGAAGAATATGTATGTGATCCTATGAGAAAGAAGAAGTAAGAATAGAAAGCCACCCATGCATAACAGCAAGAAACTGGCGAGGAGTGTTAACACTGAAGTACTGACAAGCAGATACCTTCATCAATATCACAGTATCATTTCTTCAGACATTTCCCAGGCTGGCTGGTGGTGGCAGAAAATTGAAGTACCTGTGCTGAAGCTTACAGCTCTGGAAGAAATTATCATGCAGAAGAAAGTTATCAAGCGAATCTTATTTCAAATCTTATTTTCCCTCTTTTTCCTCTTCACAATTTGATAAAAGATAGGAGTAGTATATAGCTGGAGATGGCACTAAATCTGATTCAGGAAAGACAGAGGCCACATCCTTTTGTACAGACTGAAGTTCAGTGGGAAACTTTTTCAGCTTGCTCTGCCTCAGCACAAATAAAATAATTAAAAAAACATACAAAGTACAGGCTTTCCAGAGAGGCATGAACACTGGGGGATAATAGGACTGTAGGGATACCAAATATGGTGATCCAGAGCCATGAATCATTTGGGAGAGAATTAAAAGATTTTACTTTTTTAAAGTTGTTTTGCTGAGTTTGCTTAGGCTTCTCTTCTTGCTTTGGATCTTTTCTTTGCCAAAGCTGTCCAATTTATGAAATAGTCAGCCATTCAAGAACTGCCAGACATACTGAACGGCAATTCTGGCTTCGTGTACAATCAGCCGTCGAGAAGAGCTGCACATACCTTCTTCTGCTTCTACCTCTTTCCATGGTCTCACTGATGACCAATATATCAATTGAAATTCTCTTTGGAGCAGACCAGCCCTGAATCCCACTGACTACACAAGGAGCCCTCCTCACAATTCTCATGACTCAAATTTCATCAGATTGTCCACTTTTTCCATTCTCCTTTTTACTACCTCTGGGCCATTCTGCTGTCAGGAATGGCTATACAGCTAGTAGGCTCCAGTGCAATTAAATTATCTTGTCCTTTTCTGTGTAATAAGCTGTGAGCCATCACTGGATCAAGGACTAGCCTGGCCAGTCTTTGCTTATTTGCAGATACAGCTGGTAGGAAATAAAATCTCTTAAATCCCATTGTCAAACACAGTTAAGTTTGCTCCTGAAATCAACATCCCCTAAACGTGGCATTAATGGAAATTTCTGAAAATAGTTAACAATTGACATGATAGTAAATAATTTTCAGTGAGACTAGGTTTCCAAAAAATAGGCCAAAAGTACTTAACAGATCTCCCTGATCTAAAACCAAAGCCAGCTAAGAGTGGAAGAGATGGATTATGTAGTAAATGGCTTTTCACAAACTCTTCTTTGTTTCCTTCACTAAAACTCTGCAGTTAATTTGCATTCATCTTTCTGTGAGGTGAAAAAGCAACAGGTAGAGCCTGTTATATATTACCTTCACCTAGGTACCATACTCCTGGTCTCCAGTAGGTACAGATGTGAAAACCCTGAACAGTGTCACCCCTGCACTGACTGGCTGATTAGCTGGTTGCTAAGTACTTTTGAAGAATAGGTCAGAGCCACATTTCCACTACAACTTCAGATCCTGCACCACCACCTCCATTGTACAGTCTGGAAAGTACCTCTAATTTCTTCCCTAAGGAAGACATTTTTTAGACTTTCCTCTTAGATCAGATCATCATATCCACAAAGGTGGTAAAAAGAATCTGAAGATACATAAGGGAAGACCTGGCTGGACTGTAGCTGAAGACGCTGCTTGATGGAAGAGACTGGTATGTTGCAATAAGAGCACTGCCACAGAGGAATATAATCAGGTATTACGCTCTCTGTAACACATCTCCAATTATCTGAATATTTGCTTCTTTCCTATAGGATTCATGTTTGAGGCTTTTATAGACAGAGTGGTTTAACATTAAAGTATATTATCTATTACTTTATGCCTTTTTCTTAAAAAAAAAAATCATTTTAATAAAAAATTTCTGTAAAATACTAATTGTGAAAAACAACATTCTTTACCCTTCTCTCCTCTTCTACCAACTGACTAAAAATCTGTCTTTTATAAACAGTCTTTGTGAAGCAAACATATTTATGTGATCATCAGAAAGAAAAAAAAAATCATACAGCTGAACACTGTACTACAGATCAGGGTACATATTTCTTATAAGAGTGCTTACAATGAATAAAACCATGTCTCTTAACACCACTAAAATCTCATAATCAGCAATATACCTATCAATCAAGCACTTTTGAGGACAAGTTCAGCTCATTTTGTATGAATGAAAATTTTCACTGTTTAAGCTGCATTAACGTTTCAGAGAAAAATAGTTCTCATATTTCACAGTATAGTTGAACAAGAGAAAATCCATTTGATATAATTTTTGTATTTTCTCAATTTGTTCTGAGCTCAATTGTCTGAGGTATTCCAAGGTGATATCACTATTAGTTCGTTTCTCTGAGCCATATCTCTTCAAGCTGGGGTACTGCAGGCTCTCTGGTGCACCAATTGCCTTCAGAACTTGCTCAGAATCTAACCCAAGAGTTTCATACTTGCCCAGAATATCATAGTGAATGTTGCAAGGATCACAGAGCAGAAACATTGGTTTCCAGTGAATGTCAAGCGTATTTGGTGGTTTTGATGTAATGAAACTGACAAACTCCTGGAAACTCACTTTTTCAGAGGAATTTTTGTTTTTCCTGAACATTGCCTTAATCTGATTGGCAACAGTGGTACTATAGTATGGCTCAAAGTGCAGAAGCTTGTCTCTGTAAGCCGACACCAGCCGTTCCAATGGATGTCTGGTGAACATCACCTTGGTGTAATTGTTTAGAAATTCCTCTTGTATGGCAGGAGGGAAAGCACTCAGCCTTTTGATCAGTGAGGTTTGGTGAATATGGTCATGCTCAATTTCAGAAGCTTCCACATTCAAGCCTTCTTGGAGAATAAAAATAGTTCTCTTCCAGTTAGAGCAGCCTACTTTGGGCACCTCACAGTAGATAAATTTATGTTTGTGCTCCACGAAAATCTGGCTTGCAACATGAGAATCCAGTTTACTTTTTAATTTAATGAGATTGTTCTTCTGGCAGATGGAAGCCAGTGTATTTCTGCGATCATTTTGAATTGTTAGCCAATCTTCAGTGGGACCAGGAAAAGAATCAGCAACTAAGGAAGAAGTTTAAACTGTTAGTGTGAAATACACATAGCCTCTTCCTGGTGTAATTATCTAAGAATTATCTATGTCAATCTCCCTGCATACATAAACAAAGATTGATTTTAAAATCAATCTTTGTTGTCACCTGACTTCACTACAACAAACATGCAAAAAGCTATCCTGCCTAGTGAAAAGTTCATTAAAATGAGAGCTGTCAATGTGTTAGCTATATTACTCTAAGGTGGGTGTTCAAACATTTTTAATATCATATTTTTTGTAGGTTTCTTCTCATACATTACTAAGACAGTTATCAGAGTGACAGCAGATTTTCTTACCTGGGCTTCATAATTACTTTCTAACACATTTGGGAAGGGTAGACTTGCTTCTAGAAACTGTTATGCTGGTAAATTCTTTACTCACCCATTAGATTTTTTTGTCTTCTACAGAAAAATCCGAAAAGAAATATCCCAAAAATAAAATTTGGGAGAAGGAAAATTAATGCCTTCGGATTCATAGTATTTTCACAGGAAGGAAGATGAAGGTATTTCTAAACCGGAAATCTGCCTTTTTGTCAACAAGGAAACATAATACAGGTTAGATTTTGTAGGTCTGAAACAGCAAAAATGACATTTCTTACCAAGTTCAGTACAAACAACATGAACAAATACACTGTCACATATATTAACTATTTACTGGTGTCCTCATTAAACTGTTACAATATTTATGCAAATGAATGCAGCATTTTTACACACTATGGCATGTAGCCAATATTTTTGCATTTTCTTGGCTGCAAGAGACTACTCTAAAGACTACAAGAAAACATAGAATTTGATCTTTGACTTAACATTTTTCTCAACTCCATCTCAATTCTCCCTTCATCATGTGTTCTACTGACAGAGAATCAAAGAATCACTAAGGTCGGAAAGGACCTCTCAGATCATCTAGTCCAACCATGCACCTACTGCCAATATGCCCCCACTAAACCATGTCCCCTAGTACCAAGTCTACATGACTCAACCACCTCCCTGAGCAGCCTGTTCCACTGCCTGCGGGCCATTCTTTCAGAGAAGAATTGTTTCCTAATATCCAACATGTGCATATATACATATGTATGAGGCTTGCTTTAGAAGTAATGCCTCCTGTTTTATTATGTTGGCCCACACCAGAGGTGTATGTTGGTGGTATCGCAGTAGAGTTTGAACCTTCCCACCAACATTCCATTACATTTTGTTGCTGTGTGACAGATGGCAGCAGAGGGGCAGCCTGACAAAATGATGTCTGATATGGAATTGTGTACAAAGAAAAGATGCGGAATAGAATTCCTCCATGTGGAAAAAACTGTACCCACTGACATTCATTGATGCTTGCATTTATGGAGACCAAAGAGTGAATGTTATCACAGCGAGGCAGTGGGTGGTGTGTTTCAGCAGTGGTGACAGTGATGTGAAGGACAAGCCACGCTCCAGATGGCCATGTAGATTCTTATGAGCGGGGCATGCAGGCTCTTGTTCAATGCTGGTAAAAATGCGTATCTAATGGTGGTGAATACATTGAAAAATAGCATTTTTCAATGAGAGATTTTAATAGAGAATTTGCTCTATCAAATAGTGTTAATGTGTTCTTTGTTACAGTTTCCGTGAAAATAAGTAGGAGGCATTATTTTCAGAGCAACCTATGTATTTTTAAACAATAAGCACATTTACGTGTTCGTATATACACAAATATATGCACAGTTCAGAAACATATTAATAATAGTTACACTGGCATATTATTTGCTCCAAGTAAACTAAGTGGGTTGATAAGGATATAAAGTCTCCAGGTGATAAACCTGTATAGGTGTGTCTCAAGCTAACTTTTTGGTAAAGGCAGACCTTGGCCACAGCTGAGCATATGGGTGATCTTCTGCACTCTACTAGAAGATAAGTGGGACTTTTCAGATTAAAAGAATGAAAAGGCAACAATACTTACGTGTGTTCGTGACAGATTTGAAGCCACAGGTGAAGAAAGGTATCAGTAGGGCCAGTCACTGGAAGGCAGGGAAAATCTCTGTAAACAGATAACATTCTCAGCAGCTATGTTGCTTTCTCTACTTACGCCCCGCTAACCCCATTGAAAAGACAAATGCAAATACATGCATACCTATATGTGCGTAGGTGCATAGCAGGTGAGGACAGGATGATGCACAAAAAAAGAACAGGAAAAAGCAAGCTTTGCTGGACACAGTTCTGAGAATGCCCCTTGATCACTCGAATCTACAGCCTCTCCATTCCCACTGAATTTGTTATGGATGGACAGGAGGAAGGCAGAGCCTAGTAACAGGAGTCTCTGCAGGTAGGCTTCCCTTTTCCATGAAGTGGAGAATCATTAGCAGATTAGGAAATTTCAGTAGGCTGCAAACTGCCAAGGTCTCATTGCATCTGATCTAGCTCCACGTGGGATCAGCCAAAATTCAAGTCATATTTCTAAGAACGTTGTACAAATGTTTCTTGAACTCCAGCAGCTTCAGACCATGACCACTGCCCTGGGGAGCCTGTTCCATGCCCACCACCCTCTGATGAAGAAACTTTCCCTAATACCTAGCCTGACCCAACCCTGATGCAGATCCACGCCATTCCCTTGGGTCCTGTTGTTGTTACTAGAGTGCAGATCTCAGCACTGCCCCTCCATTCCCGTCGTGAGGATCTATAGGGCACCAAGAGGCCTCCCCTCAGTTTCCCCTTCTCTGGGCTGAATAATGTAAGTGATTTCAACTACCCCTCATATGTCTTGCCCTCTAGACCCTGAGCACCTTCACAGTACTCCTTTGGACATTCTCCAAAAGTTTTATGTCCTACGTTGTAGTGCCCAGAACTGCACCCAGTGCTCAAGGTGAGGCAGCACAGCCCAGCTGACAGTGCTGGGCTTGGTGCACCCCAGGGTACAGTTGGCCCTTCTGGCTGCTAGGGCACACTGCTGACTCAGATTCACCTTGCCATCAGCCAGAACTCCCATATCCCCTTTTGCAAGGATGCTCTTTCACCTCTTGTCCCAGTCTTTATGTATATCCAGGATTGCCCTGTTTCAGGTACAGAATCTGGCACCTGCTTGTGCTATGTAAGAAGAGGTACAAATTCAGTGAGGGGACAACACAGAACGTGGACCGAGAAAAAGGCTGAAAGGGAAACCCTACAGAAAAGTACACCTCACTTGTGTGAGGTACAACAGGTACAACATCACAATTTCTAACACGCGCATAGCTAAGTCTCATTCTCTGCTGATGTCATATCAGACCTTCATTACTGTAGCAGGTTTCTTTCTGGCCTCAGCAACTGCAGCGCAACATTTCTCAATGCCATCATTAAGCTGTTTGTTATTTTCATTATACCACCATTTTACGTCTACTAACTTCTCTACTTCATCTCCTTGTCTTCCAAGAGTTTTCCTAACTTGTCATTTCTCATGCAGAATTAAAAGCACAACTTTACCTTCTAATCAGTCATATCACTAGCCCCTGCTACTATTAACTGCTGCTTTTTCCATTTCCCCTGTTGCCTTCTTTCTCTAGAAGAAGTTTCTGAAGCATCTACAAATTGAGTTCTTTTTTTTTACTTAAAATCACTCCTTAAAATCTTCCTTTTCTGGGATGCCAACACCACTCAGGCTGCCAATACACTAAAACTGTTACCAACCACCACACAAAAGAGCAAGCGCAAATAAAAGCCAATCTGGGGATGAAAAGAACCAAAGCAAGGGGAAAAAAAAGAGGACACAGGAAAAAGCAGCAGAGTCTGACAGAAAAAATCCCAGAGTCAGGGAGCTGCAATGTGAGGATGTGTGGAGGAACCGGGGCCATGGGAAACAGAAACTGTGCAGCCTGCTCAAAAGGTGCTGTGGGAAAGGGAGGCTGAGAAAGGGGGCAGAAAAAACACAGAGTAATTCTATGAAGATGGAGAAGAATAAATATCAAAGAAGATTCTACCACGGAGCATAGGGATGGGCAGCTGGGAGCCAGGTGCTATAACAACACAGCCAGCATGGCAAGGCCTCACCAACTTCACCCATCCCCACTGCCTCTGAACACCAAAGACCTGGAGTTGGTGGCCAGGTTCAGCCAGTAGGATCATCAGGGAGGGCCATGGTGACAAGGTCCTAAGGGTGGGGCTGTTTGGGCCAGGCCTGTGGCCAAGCAGGTCTCTGGGGTACTGGAGCCCAGCCCTTCTGCAGCCTTGATGGGGCAGGGGCTGATGGCCCAGACATTGCTGTTCCAGCCCTGGGCAAAGTGGAGAGAACCCTGGGGGTGTGCAAGGTTAGTCAGGGCCCTGTTCGTACTCTCAGGGCCTGGCAGACCATGTAAGAACAAGATTTACATCTTCTGCCTGGATACCTGGTAATGGCTGTTGGACCTTCTTATGTAAACCACTAATTCAAAATCCCAGTATGCATCAACTGCCACTTAAACCACTGCAGTACCAGTCATGGGGGAGCAACTACTTTTTCTTCTTTGGAATCTAGATGAGCCTAAGGGACTTGCAAAGGAGGAAGAAAAGGAAAAAAGAGTATAGAAGAAAAGCTTAGAAAATGGTGCATGCTTGTTTAATGGGACATTGGTCCTCATAAAATCCCTGTGTTTCTTATTATACCAATTACTAGGTCTTCGGTTTCTTGCATGTCTCACAGTTCCCTCTCATATTTCCCTTCACATTTATTGTAATAGCAGTATTTGCCCTGCCATTCAGGTCTACCAACCGCTCCCCTCCCAGCTTTTCACCTCCTTATGTAAACTTGATTCACTCATTCCCACTATTTCACAGGAAATAGCATAGCCAGCCCTTTATTCAGCAATCCCTGCCACTTAACACACAGTCCCCAGTCAACCTTCTGGCTGCTGTTAATTTAGCTATATCCCTCCTGTATTCCCTCCACTAGTGTCCCCCTGATATAACTGATGATGATCTCTTTTCCTTTTTTTATGCCTCAGTGTGCATAAAAGGTTGCTGGTAAAACTGCTTTCTTTTTTTGCTCCTATCTCCTCCACTTGCTCCTACCATTCTAGTCTAGAATCCTCACTTTCAGGGTGCAACACCATTTTGTTCAAAACCATACCTCTACTCTATTTTTTGTTCTCCCTCCAAGACTCCTGTACAGGAATCATGTACGAGTCCCTATACTGGTATTCTATGATTGGTGTGGCTACTCTTTTAAAGAAATAACTTCTTTTCATGAAACAGCTTGACTCAAATTGACAAAACTGAATGTATTCATTTGTCTCTCTTTCTACACAAATCCATGACTATTTTTCCTTTCCTTTCTGCTCTCTTCTGTATTTCAGGATAAGCCATTTAACAGAAAGGTTGTTTTAATTGTGAAGCATGTGTTTACATCATATACTATGGCACCTGAAGTATCAAGAAGTTAGGCAACTGCAGGATTAAAGGAAATCAAAGATCATACAAGATGACAATATCTTCTGGTTTTAGGCATCACAATCTTGAAACTGAAGACCTGACATTTCAGAGTATTTAACATTACAGTAGATTCTAAGTTCAAAATAGTCTTGATGATCCAGTTACAGGTATGTTATGTTATGATGTGGAATATCGATAACGAAAAATCAAAAACCATGACAAGGTATGCTAAGAACATCTGCAAATATGGTTCCAGAGCCTGCTTGGGTACCCAGAAAATGGGTATCACTCAGTGACTCTGAAAAGCTGGGTGCCTCAAACCACACAAGAATATTCTATCAAATAATTCAAATTCTTACCATAGTTTCCCGATTCACAGCAAAACCTCCCCCTTTTCCCCTTTTGCTGTAGAGAGCAGGAAACCTACTGCACAGCCCTACAGCACATCTATCACCTGTGAACTGAACACCAAATTGAGCATAACAGCATGTTTCTTTAAACAACAACAACAACAAGCAACTGTGAAAAGCTATTGAAAAATGTCTTAATGCAGCATCATAACACCATGCACAAAAATCACCGTCAGTGATGAATAATTTATCAACCTTTATCAGTCTTGTGATACTCAC